ATATACTATGTCTCCAAATAGATGATTAAGATGGAACAGAATCACTTAGTAACACCAACGGAATATTCAGTGACTGTCAGAGAGCCAGCCTGGAGGAACTGAGAGGCTACCAAGCAGAGGATGCCTGTGTGCGCTGGAAGATGAGGGGACTTCCCTGCCTCTCCTCTTGGGCACTCAGTCATTATGTTGGGGTCCTAGCTTTGAGGCTGCTAAAGCAAGCTTTGATATGGAGGCTCTGCACTGGGCCCTGAAGGTGTGAGCGAGCCCGATTTCCAAAAATCTTGTGTGATCCAAGCACAGTGTGTTTAGGATTTTCTTTGGTGTACCCTCTGTCATTGACTTTTCATTTCCCTCCATCCGTCTCAGTCAGTTTCGCTTGAATCAGCTAAACCTTATGGCCCTTTTAAGGAGCCATTGTTTTCATGAAGGAGTATGAATCACAGGGTTCATAAATTTAGAGGAGAGAACTTTGTTTCTTATAAAAGGTTACAACCTGCAGGCTGGCCATCTTGATAGGTCAGAAACAGTAGCCTCTGACAAAGATCAAAAGCAAGGCTTTTGGGGGGGGTTGGGTTAGGCCGGGATTTTTTGCGGATTGTTCGGTTAGTTTTCCTTGTTCCTTGGTTTTTGGGGGGGGTTTTGATTTTTCTTGCCGGGGATATATACATGCATAGTAAGCAAGCGTACATGTTACATAGTACCATGTTCACTTTGGGGTGGACACTTAACATTTAAATGCATTGAAATTGGGCTGTGTGTGTCATAAGGTGAAAGGGAAGACACAGAGGCATCCTGTGCACAACTTCTGTAAACTGGCCAGAAACAGTCCATGGTCCATGGTCTTGGTCTCTTATCAGGAAGGAATGTTGGTTAGTTGTTGTGCAAATAAGCTGTGGAGTAAGTCTTTAGGAAGGACTGGTTTCTGTTTAATCCTTAGGAAAGAAAGTCTAGTAGTGGTTATCAAGGGAGGCGGGTACAAAGAGGTGTGTCCAACCTCCTGTCCCATGATGGCTGGTAACTCAGTTTTTAAGGTTCCTTTGTAGTTCCCTTAGCCAAGAGGGAGTACATTCAGTCTGTAGGGGTATAGGATTTTATTTTTATTTCTCACCTCTGTGAGTAAACATGCTATTATATTTGAGAGGTAGAGGATCCTCTCTGTACCTGTCTTCTCCATGATTATGTGAAAGCTCCCAGTTCCAAAAGAATTCTTCATCTACCCAGTAAGGGCCACATGGGCCTTCTACTATTATTTATTACTATGTCTTCTTAACTCTGAGATGCACATTTTTTTTTTTTTGCAGCCTAAATCTTTATAATTGACATGACTCTTACAATCAATACCTCCAGCTAAAATCTTACAATCCATATTGTAGCATTTCTTTCCCATTTTCTTTCTCTAAATGGGAAGAATTGAATAAATGTAGTACCTTGGTCAGTAAAAACTAAACTCTGCCTTCAATCTCTAAGGCTACAGAAATGAAAGTTGACAGAATCAGGTAGGAAGAGGGTACCCAGGGCTAAATCATGACTTTGGGGCCAAGTATCCAAGACAGGTGGAGGCTGAGGAGGTGGGGCCCACAGGCCCCTAACTGGTAATGTATTCTGGCTCTGTTAATCCATGACCAGCTGTTGTCTTAGAAAAAGGGAACAAAGCCCACATTTGTCCCTGTGCTTTCATGTTTGCTTTATTTTCATTTTGTTTTCTCCATCATAGCTATACTAAAAGGAAAATGGTTTTTTGTCTACACAGGAGTGATGAGAAGAGCACTTTCCCTGTTTTATATGTCTTTTTAAGATATATGGCCCCTCAGATGTCTAATATACACATTTTCCCCAGCTGTACAAAGTGCTTAAAGCACTAGGTTCTGCAGCTCCCCCCCATCCAGCCCCCACAACTAGCCCAACATCCACATGCCCACCACTGCATCAGCCAGACAACATCTCTATTCTTCCACCCCTTCCCTCCCCTCTGGGCTCTGTTAAATGATCAAAGCTACTGGGAGAAATAAATTTAAGCAAAGATGATAATGGATAATAGTATCCCTCCTCCTTCAGTGTTTGCATTTTAAAGGACTCTTTGAGAAGCACAGTATAATTTACTTTGAATTGAGGGATTTTTCAGTACACCAAGAAAGATATTTAGGACAAGAGGGACTTAAACTGCCCATGAAATCCCATCATATAGGCACCCACATACCCTATCTGAGCTTAAAGCCTCTGGGCTCCAAGAAAATGTAAGAAGCTACCTTTTACCCCTTGACATTTTTATCACAGCTTTTAGGATCCTGACAAGTAAAGAAAGGGAAAAAAAGAAACCAGTTTTTCATTTGCAAATTGCTTACAAATTAGTTTCTAATGAACACTTTATACTTCTTTCATGATGAGACAGGCTGAGGGTATTTACTCAGTCTAATTTCTCCTAAGCTTAATGGGAGTATTTGACTATCCCTGTAACAGAGTCATCAAAACAAACATTTATTCTGCTACCATTTGAGTGACACTCTGCCAGCCACTGGGAGAGATTAAAAAATATATAAGACATAGTCACTACTCTTGAGGGCCTTAATATCTAGCTGGAGGGAAAAGCTCATATGAATCAGAACAAGAAGTAAACAACATACTCAACACAAGGAAACAGGTGATGCACAAGGCCTTAGGAAATACATTGGCCAATGCAGTGTGAGTATTTCAGAGGACATAGTTTGCACAAAAAGTCCTTGGATGAGCTGAATCTGAAGAAAAGTAATTTGAACACCCATTATTTTTATTCCTCTGGTATCCTTATTATTGCTGTTATGTCACCATTGGAGAATTTTCCTCTTTACATTCCACGTGGTCCTGCAGGCTGTGAGTCTCGCACGTGTGTGGCACATGATCCAGGTTAGGTAAGTCAGTATCCTTCACCACTCTGACAAAGAGAACCATGCCAGGGACACACATGACTCAACTTGGGCAGATCAGAGTCCTTCTCTGGAGTGACTGACTCATACATGCTGAGAAGAGCTGTCCCTTTCTCCTGGGATGGCTAAACAGGAAGGGTATGAATATGTGATTGTTAAAGGCCATTCCTATATCAGGGGGGGAGCCTTCCCATAGAAAGAAGCCAAAATTCAGGAGCAAACAGAAATGAGAGAAGAAATATGTATGTTTCTGACACTTTTTGAGCACTCAAATGTAGATCCACCTTCTAGTTTTAGGGGCCACGAAATCCCCTCCATATCTTATTCTTCAGAGACACTTCTCCCCACCGTCTCAAAGGATCACTAATGCTCAGTTCATTTATTTTTTCCAGTTTTTTATCTTTTTTTATTAATAATTCTCTATTTATTAAAAACGGTCCTATAGCTTTACAACCACAGTGCCAGACGTGGCCCTGGACAGCGACAGCAGGCCCAGCCTGGTGGCCCGCACAACATCAACACCGAGCTTGTGTCTGGCCTCCGCCCTTGGGGCTTGCAAGGCCGTCCGCCAACACAGCAGGCCGGCAGCAGAGGTATTGGAGGTGGGTGGCACCACTCGCTCAAGATTCACAGAACATGGCAAGCCCACCTGATGGGTGTGGCAGTGAATCATCCTTTGCAGCTCCATTTTCTTTAAAAAAACAGTTTTAATAGAGTTCAAGTCCAGAAGCAGGGAATATACAGTAATTGAGGCAGGTTGGTGACCTAGCACGGGCCACTGGGACAGACCCTGTTTCAGCTCTGCTTCTTTCTTTCACCCTGGGTGCAGCCAGCTGGAGGGTCCAGTCAGGCCCTGGCTGCCTGAGAGGTGACAGCTGAGGGTAGAGTTTTTTATCTTTTTGTATTTAATTTTGAATAGTTTCAATTGTTATATATTCAAATTCAATTATCTTTTATTTGGGGGTGTCTATCTGCTCTTAATCCCATCAAATGATTTTTTTCATTTCAGATATAGAAGTTCTATTGGGTCTTTTAAATATATATGTGTGTTATATATGGAATATATATAGTGTGTGTGTATATATATATATAATATATGGAACATGTGTGTGTATATGTGTGTATTCCGTTTCTCCTCTCAACATGTTCATGAATATACCTTGAGTATATGGAGTATACTTATAGTATCTTTTTTTTTTTTTTTTTTTTTTTTTTTTAGAGGCAGAGTCTCTCTTTGTTGCCTGGGTTGGAGTGAGTGCCATGGCATCAGCCTAGCTCACAGCAACCTCAAACTCCTAGGCTCAAGCAATCCTCCTGCCTCAGCCTCCTGAGTAGCTGGGACTGCAGGTGCAAGCCACCATGCCCGGCTAATTTTTTGTTTCTATTTTTAGTTGACTGGCTAATTTTTTCTACTTTTAGTAGAGATGGGGGGCTTGCTCTTGCTCAGGCTGGTCTCAAACTCCTGAGCTCAAGCGACCCTCCCGCCTCAGCCTCCTAGATTGCCAGGATTACAGGCATGAGCCATGGTGTCCGGCCTATAGTATCTATTTTAAAGCCCTTATCTGCTAATAACATCATCTCTGACTCTGCCATTTCTGGGAATGTTTCTTTTGAATGATTTTTCTTTCTTATGGTTATGGGTCATATTTTCTTGCTTCTCTGCTTTCTTGATAATTTTTTATTAAATGCTAAATATTGCAAATTTCATACTGTTGGACTTTGGTGCACAGTTAATTTACCTGGGATCCAGTTTGATTCTTGCAATACTTGCTTTTAAGCTTTGTTAGGGAAGCTCTAGAGCAGCCTTTTGTTTAGGGCTAATTTAACCCAATTACTCAGACAATATCTTCCTGTGTACTCTACCTGATGCTCTGCACATTATGAGCCATGTGTGAATTCTGGGAGTTATTCTGTCTACTACATTCCCTCCCAGTCTCACCGAGTTTCACCCTTCACGTGTACAAACTGATATTTAGCCAAAGATTCCAAAAGACTGAAGATTTCCAGAGTACGTTTTCTTCCTTGCTGGGCGTATATGTGTGTGCATGCAGCTTTCTCCTCTGCAGCATTCCGTCCTGCAAGTTCTAACCGCCTGAATTGTGATGTCTGTGTCCTTGACTCATTAAGACCACTGGGCTTTGTTTGGTCCTCCTCCCTGTGCGATGCATCAGTACTGCCTTCTAAGCTGGAGCAATTACAGGTTGTCAGGCTCACTTAATTTACTTCCCTTCTCTCGGGATCACAGTCCTAGGCTGACTATTGTTCAATATCTGAAAGTTGTTATTTTTTTATATTTTGTTTGGCTTTCTAGGTGGATATGGTGGGAAGGCAAATCCCAGAGCAGTTAATCCTACATGGGTGGAAGCAGAAGTCCCAAACTCTAACTTTTTAACTACTCCTTATCAAAACCTTTTCTTAGGGAATAATCTATCATTTTTACCTAAGAAAAAAATAAGATTATGGCCAAATATTAACAAGTTTATGCTTATCCTACCCAATTTCTTATTACTATACTGTACCACTCCACTGGTCTACTGATCTGAACTGATCTCAGGAGCCTCAAGCTATCAGACTTGGTTTCATCTGTCCAATGGCGATACTAAAAGTATTCACAGTTTGTGGTGGGGATCAAATGAGATAAATTATATGAAGCCTGGAATATAATGATTGTTCTAAAAATGGCAACTATTTGTACTACTGAATGAATCACAGGAAACAGAAACATTGATTTAATTGAGAGGGAAGTCCACGTTAAAGTGTCCATTTTTCTAATACAAACAATAACACAGAAACACGTTTTGGTATGGATTCATTTGATGCCAACTTTCTGTCCAACAGGCATTGTTAACTTCATTATAAAAGTTCCTCAATAGTTCAAAGATTCATTGAAAATTTTATCCTAAGATTTTAAAATGACAAGAAAAACTTAATATGAGCTATATAATTGGCACTGAAAAGTGGAGCCAAAAAAAGCAACCAGTTCTGGTTACCTCAATCCTAGTGAATTTGGTGTCACAGAAGTGGAAACATAGGAGGAAGGAATGGTGAGTCTAGTCTTGAAATTGAATGATAAATGACAAAATTTACATTTCTCCTAAATCCTGAAAACAGAAGTAGCAAAACATGGTGTCTGCTTTTCAAAAATATTAGAATGTATTAATTATCTGTGGAATATTTTGTTCTGGATTTTGTTTTCAAGATACCACTGCTCTCATTTTAAAATAGCATTCCCATCAGATGTTTGTTTTACTAGATTGTAATTATTCCTCACTCAGGATATGATCAGTCTCTTTTAAATATCGAGGCCTTTCTACTCCTTTACAGAACAAAGATTTACTAAGTTTCTGTATATTCCAGGCATTTTACTCAGTTCTTTCACATGCTAAATTACTTTTATTCTCTTTTTTTCCTTACAACATACATAATTACTGCCATTTTACAGTTGAAGAAAATGGGGCCAAGGGAGGTGTTATGTTTTGCATAAAATCACACAGCTATTAAGTAAAACTTCTAGAAAAATAGGACTGAGCTATTATACTCAAGGAACCCTTTCCTTCAATTTTAAAACTATCTCTTAAAGAATGAGGATGATGCCTTTGACTCAAAAATACCATTAAAAACACTGGCTACAGTGGGTGGATGAACCCACTGGGTTTTGTTCCCAGTGGGTTCCACCCACTTCCCAACCACAGAAGACAGTGGGCATGATGCCATGGCCCCTGGTGGACGGGATCAGTGAATTCACTCAGGTTTTCATCCCAGGAAGACAACCTCAGGAGGTACAAGGTTGTCTCTTGAAGAAACCTTCTGAAATTGTGCTCAATGTCTAAGGAATTAAAATATGCCTTAAAGAAAGAGCAAAAATCAAAGCTTTTAGTTTCCTATTTTGCTTCTATTTGCTCAGGAGTTCTCCACAGAGGTTTGACCAAAGAATTTATATATTCATGCAAATAATATTATTTCCCTACAAGACTATATCCTTTGTTCTTCCAGATGCTGGGACATTTCTGTTTGCTCTCATAGTTGGTTTAAAAGGATTTTGATGTAAATGTTTGGTGGCAGATATTCTGTATTCTTCCCAAGCGCTTCCTTATATTCTGAATAAGAAAACATTGTGCTCTTGAACTTGGGTTCCCTGTTGCTTCCAGCAGGTGTTGAATCTGCCACTGCCAGAGACAAAACAGCTGTGCAGCATGGGTTCCTGCTGGAGAGATCTACATTCTGCCTCTGGCCAAAGTGCTTTGAATTCACTGTGTGCCTTATGACCAGCTTTTCTGAGTCTGCAGCCATAAATTTTGATTTCATCAGGTTTCTTTTTTTTTTCTCTTTTGATTTAGTTGAGGAGTAAACTTTTTTCTTCCCCTGGATATAACTTGATATCACAGTTTTTGGTGCATCTAGGGAGTTTGAAGTAATAGCTAAAAAGATCTCAGGTGCTGATGCCGGCAGGGCCTCCTGAGAAGAAGCAGCAGGGAAGCAGCGAGGCTGCAAACAGCCCTGACCCAGATCATCCCCAGAAAGACCCCTGGGTTCCCTGAGTGCTGGAGAGAGACGACCCCATGATGCGATCCCAGTTTAGCAGGAGTTACAGGGAGTAGGAAACATTTGGGGAAGTAGGTCTCTGAACAAAACCACTCTATGTACAAACACACAATCTTTTTGCCTTCACTCTGTATTTGTCTTAGTTCATTTGTGCTGCTATAACAAAATACCACAGGTTGGGTAATTTATAGAGAACAGAAATTTATTTCATATAGTTCTGGAGGCGGAAAACCCAACGTCTACATGCTGGCAGGTTTGGTGTCTGGTGAGGGCCCAATCTCTACTTCCAAGACAGCACCTTGAACACTGCATCCTCCCATGGTGGAAGGAGAATGGCAAGGGGATGTGGGCAAATGCTCTGTTTTCACATGGCAGAAGACCAGAAGAGCAAAGAAAGGCCTGTGTTAGCTCCCTCCAGCCTTTTTTAAAGCATTAATCCACTCATGAGGGCGGAATCCTCATGACTTAATCACTTCCTAAAAGGCCCTGTGGTGGCCTAACACCACCATGATAGGCATTAAGTTTCAATATGGATTTTAGTGAAGCCACATGCAAATCATAGAGCTATTGTAGAAAATTAACAGATACATTTTTATAAAATAAACATACTTTTTCCCTTACTCTTTATAAATCATGATCCTGCCTGTGCCCTGACAAATGGTGTCCCTGATATCCTCAGGGAATCCTCTGGACTAAGTCGGCCACAGAAAGACATCCTTCCCTTTCTACAGCAGGGTATGGAGCCATTAAGGAAATGGCCCATCATCTTTTCCATCAGTAGAGAACAAATAACTTCCTTGGACCACCACTGAATCAACAGGGATGTTCCTCATGCCATTCTGGCCTCCCTTTCCATCTTCTTTGCTGGTTAGTACAGGTGTGCTCCAGGGCTTGGTCGTTGGCCTGGTATCTTCAGTCTACACTCATTATGCTGTTGACCTGATCCATTCTGAGGGCTCTGACGACCTCTTAAACAGTGATGCTGCACAGATTTACACCTTTAGTAGGAAGCTTTTTCTTGAATATCAGACTTCTATGTCCAACTCCTCACCCCACATCTCTATTTGGATATCTACTCAATGCCCAAATCCTAAAATATACAAAGCTGAGTTCCTGGTATGTCCCCCAACCCTTGTTCCTCCTGTAGTCCTCCCCATCTCAGTAAAAGTCACATATGTTCTTCCAGTTGCTCAGGTCAAGAGTAGTGAAGACTGACACGATCTCTTTCTCACACATCACATATTACATACATAAGCCATCAGCAAATCCCAACAGCTAAGTCTTCATGATGTATCGAGAACCAGAGCACTTCTTACCAGCTTCAGTGCCACCACCCTGGCTAAGCCACCATCATCTTTCACCCAAGTGAGCACACAGCCTCTCAGATTATCTCTCTGCTTTCATCTGTGTCTGTGTTTAGTTTGTCCAAAACACAGCAGCAAGAGCAATCTTATTAAAATGCCAAGTCAATTAAGACATGACACTCTTGTGCTCAAAATCCTCAGTGGCTTCCAATCCCGTGCACAGTGACATCCAGAGCCCTTTCCATGTGTTGAATGGTCCTTTATGATCTGCTCCCTTTCCCCCATTGCACTTTTGGCCTTTTATCCTGCTATCCTCCCGCTCTCACTCTGCTTCAGCCCATCAGCCTGGCCTCCTCGATATTTCTACCACAGGGCCTTTGCCCTTGCCTTTCTCTCTGCCTGCAATGCTCTTCCCCAGATATCATCATGGCATCAAGTCCTTTTTCCAAGACTACTCAAATGTCACCTCACATGGAAATAAACAAAGATCAACCAAATGAGAACAGGTCACTGCTATTTATTCAGAACTTGATAAAGCCAGGGAGTCAGCCATCATAATTGTGTTTTGGCAATGCCTCAAAGATAGACAGAGAAGCGGGAAAGCTTAAAAGTGGGAAAGAGGGAAGGCTCAGTGTGCCTTGATTGGAGGCTATAGGTGCAGGGAAGCTGCAGGCAGGCTACCCAGAAGTAAGGCATCCCATATGATTGGTTAGGAGTGCATATTTGGCTTTTTGTAGTTGGTCCTACATTAGGAGAGGGAACAAAAATTAGGGAAACCGTCCTGGTTATTTTGGGCTGACTGTTTAAAGGGTTATTGTTTGGCTTCCTGGATTGTTACTAAAGATAGCAGTCTGACCTCTCACAGGTCTGACATAGACCAGGCTGGCTTCCTGGGCTGTTTATTGTAGATAAGAAGGTTGTTCTCCTAGGTTGGCTGCTGCAAATTGTGCTTCTGATTTCTATTTTATATATGGTCTGGCCATAGTACATTAGTACATTTAGTCTCTCACTGCTCAGGAAGGACTACCCTGACAAGTTCACCTAAAATGTCAGCTCTCACCACCTCTTTTTTTTTTCTGTAACATGTATTTCTATCTTTATATCCCATATTTTGCATATTTATCTTATTTATTATGTCTCTCCTACTAGAATATAAACTATTAATACTTGATAAAGGGATTTAGAGATCTCTCTCTTTTTTTTAATCATTATATTCCAGAACCTAGAATAGATCTATCTGGCCTACTATGGAAGCAAGGACCGCTGTTAAATAAAGCAATGAAATATTTATTAAGAATCTATTATTGAGGAAGAGCTAGATCAGTTAATAACTTTAGCATGGAGAAACCTGGAAGTTGGCACCTTAGCCAAAAGATCAAGATTAACATCCCCAGGAATGAGTCATACTGATGTTATGTTCCCCCTGATAAGACTGCCACATCATCTCTGTGGTTTTCTTCCCCCAGTTAGATTGTAACTACAATCTAATCATGAGAAAAAAATCAAACAAATCCAAATTGTGGGGCATTCTGCAAAATACCTGGCCAATCCTCTTCAAAAGTGTCAAGGTCATAAAAGATAAGGAAAGACAGAGAAACTATCATTGTTTGGAGGAGGCAAATAAATATAATATCAGGTCCTGGGGTGGATTTTGTAAAAGAAAAAGGACAAAATTTTTCCATGGAAAACTGATGAAATCCAAACAAAATCCATATGTTAGTTAATATTCTTATACCAATGTTAATTTCTTAGCGTTAATCATTGTATCATGGTGAGGCAAGTTGTGAACACAGGAGACGCTAGGTGAAGGGTATACAGAAACTGTACTAACTTTTCTATAAATTTTCTATAAATTTAAAATTATTGCAAAATGAATTGAAAATATTTTAAAAAGAAAAGGAGTTACATTAGGGACTTGTGGGAGTGTGGCAACTATACAGAATCTTTCCAAGTGCATTTATTAAATACCTACAATGTGCTGAGCATTGTTGAAAATGCTGATGATGCAGTATCATATAAAATTGTATACCTACACTTAAGGGCCTATTTTATGGTAGAATAGAGAGATGTACAGGATATGCTAAAGCTGCTATGGTTGGCAACTGCAGAGGCACAAAGAAGAGAGCTCAATTGAATGGGTATACTTGGGTTGAAGGAAGGTCAGTGTCCAGAGAGGCTTCTTAGAGAAAGTGATTCTTGAGCTGATTTATAAGAGATGAATATTCACCTCATGGGGTGGGGCATGGGTGGGGGAAATGGGGTTAGAAGAGCTGGAGGACAGTCCAGAAGCCCAGAGGTAGGCAAGATGACTTCACCCAGGAAACATAAAAGGGAGTACAGGATCTCTCTGGTGTTGCCATGCCCTCCACCAAGCTACACTAATTTCCCAAGAGATATTTTATCTGCTGTATGACTTTAAAATTGATTCTTTAGTCTTTTTCAATTTTAGAAAATAAACCAATATACTTGGATGTCATCTTTAAAGAGAGACATGTCTCTAAAAACATTCCAGTTACCCTTACATTTTGAAGTGGTCCTTCATAAGTTAAATCTAGCTCACAATTTGAAACCTTATTGTGTTTACGTGATATTCCATTTTGTCAAATAAAATTACTGAGAGGCTATTTAGGAAACTTTCCAATATCAAAAGAGAGCAAAGTGGTGCAGCTTCTTGAATGGCATTTTTGAATGTGTGGAGGGATGATAGATTTCACTGCTTTGGGGTCTCTGGAGCTACTGAGAAGTGAATTGTAAATATTTAAAAAATTTTTTCTGTATAGTGAGATGTTTTGACATCTTAAAAATCCTTTCTGGCTGGAGAGAGACTTCCACTCTTAAGGCTAGTCAATTCTAAAAGATAACAGAAGACTTAGGAGCATGTCTGTGATATACGAACTGAACAATCTAGAGCCATATCTCCTCTATCTGGCTCACATACCCTGGGAGGCGATATTCCTCTGCCTTAACCTTCCCAGGGCCAGGTGCCAGGCAACTAGAGACCATCACTATAGCTCAAAGCCCACCAGAATTATTCAAAACAGCCAATACTAAGCTGTTCACCCTGCCCCATCTTGCCTTTCCTGCAGAAACCCCAGTAAAGGCTGTGGCCTAAACCTTTACCTCACTGCTACTCTGGTGTCTTTCCCATGAGCCCAAGTCTGCCAAGCTTTGCTTCTTGTTTCCAGGAAGGCACTGTGAGTATGTAAAACCTTCTTTCATTGGCATTAACCTCACCATGTCATCATTTAGTCACCTTTATAAATTAAAACCCTGGCATAATACATGGAGATCATATAAATCTCAGTGGGATAAAGACAACATTTGTACCAACTGAGTTGTTTTTTGTTCATTGGTTTTGATTGTTATGGATGCCAATTGACATAATATTGGTGAAACACCAAGAAGGCAATCCACATGTTTGGAAATAGAACAATGTATATATAGAAAAGATTCATTCATTTATTCTTTCATCCATCCATTGATTCATTTAGCAATGTTTATTGGGTGCCTACTGCACACTTAACACTGCTAGCAACACAACGGTGTGCAAGGTAGACTTGTTCCTGCCCCTCCCCAAGCAAAATGGGAAATGTAGATAAGGGAATAGGCAATTATATCCATAGTAATCAGAATCTGAGAAGCGTGAGCAGAGGGGTTGAGTTGACATCAGCCTGGTTTGAGGCAGGTCAGGTGAGCCATAGCCTCTAACAGGAAAGTGGAGTACTGGCCACAAGGTGTACAAGTGCTTTCTGGACCTGGGTACGTGCAGTATGGGGAAGGGGAAATGCTTATCCCAGGTATTAGAGAAGCCCTTTATTAAAAGGATTTGTTCTGTAAAATCTGGATTCTGTCAAAAGGCCACACTCAAGGATCCAGAAGGCCACATGTGGCCACAGGTTCCCCACTTCTGAGCTAGAGGGTTTGAGACGCTAAGAAATATTCTGATGACAAGGATGGAAAGCCACAGTTACTTCTAATTCTATTGCTTGGCGATTTATTTGCTTTTTTATCTCAAGTGCTGCAATGGTGTCTATAAATGATAAAGAGAGCAAAATAGTCCCTGCTGACATAGAACATAGCCAAGACAATGACTGTATCCAGCACCCCTTATTCCTCTTCGTAATTCTCTGCCCCCCCATCCTTTCTATCCACCCCTATCCCCAGGCAACCACTGACCTGCTTTTCTTTAATTTACATTTTCCAGAATGTCATATAAATGAAATCATACAATATCTGCTCTTTTCTGATGGTTTCTTTTAGCATAATTATTTTGAAATTTATGCATGTTATTTTATATATCGATAGCTCATTCCAGAAGTATTCAATCATATGGATATACAACAATTTGTTTTCACTCCTGTTTCCACCGTACTATTTGATTCATTGCTTTAGAAAAAGTAACAGAATTGAAGTAACTCAAGTTCTGTTTCTTTGCACTTTATAACCCCTATCCTATTCTTGTTTACATAGAACCTGCTGTTTCAAGACAGGAACATAAAGAGCCACAGGGATTGTGCCAAGGCAAGTGTAAAAGATTTGGAGCCATTAGGGATTAACATGCACCCTCAGTCTGCAGGGTGGAGGCTGACTGTAACAGGAGTTCTCCTAATTAACTTCCACATAGAATGCAAGGTTTATTTAAGGGTAGAAAAAAAATGTGCTCATTTGAAGTATGTGTGTTGATATACATATCAACAGTTGACTATAGCAATTGTTTGGAGCTCAGACTGACAAAAGATATCCAGAGGAGGAATATTTTATATCTGACATTATTGAGAATTGCCAGCTCAGGGTGATAATAAAAAACAGGCTGATTTTTTTGTCAGTCTGTTTTTTATTATTTTAAAATTCTCTACAAAAAATGTGCCCCTTTATTACCTGCTTCTGAGGTAAAGTACTTCCACAAATACCTCCTCAGTAATAAATAATAAATATTGCTATTTATTATTAGTTATTAAATATTACTATTTATTATTTATTAATTATGATATATTTTATTTTAAATATATAATAATCATACTAATAATATTAATTTGAACCATCCAAAACTGCCAATATTCAACTATGTTTTACCTATAAAATGGCAATGTCATGTTTAAACCTAATATATTTATAATTAATCATACTATAATAGTGATTATAAATGTAAATTTTATCATAATTATTCAGTTGAACTAAGAAAACTCATTGCCAATGGGATGATAGCTAAAGGTATAAATCTGAATACATAAATCATGTTCCTCCATGCCTCAATATCTTTACTGAAAAGAGACAGGGGAGGGGGAAGAAAGAGTGCATTAGATATCACCACTTCCCCCATCAATTTGCATTGTTGTCATTACAGTGAGAATTTGCTTATCTTTCATTTACATTTTTGTTGAATGTCTCATTCAAATGAAAAGACTTCCAGTTATATGTAAAGTAATTTAAGTTTCTCATAAAAGGTGCTAAAACATATATTTTGTTAGACATGAAAGAAGAAACAATTCCTACTTTTTCATTAATAGATATAATTGTGCATTGTCACTGGAGTAAGAAGCGAGGTTAGCATCATTCTAACAAGACCAAGAAATTGAACAGGTCCAAAGAGAAGAACTATATAACCCAGCCACAACTGGACATCTAGCCCACCTGGTCAGTTAGCTAATCTATTGGTGTATGCTGCCTTGATGAATTCTCCTCATTCCAATGTTTCCCAAGGCTGGATTAGGTGCTCTACTATGTATTTCCATAGCATCCCATCTTTACTCCTAGAAGAAAATTATACCGTGGTATAATTCATTTGTTTTTCTTCCCCATGAAATATCAGGAACCATCTCCATTCATCATTGTATCTCTGATGCAATACTTAACACATAGTAGAGCTCCATATATTTTTGTTGAAGAGAAACATAAGTGTCTCACATTTCATGAAAGCAACTGATCAGATGGCTTGGTATAGCCCTTCTCCATGCAGGAAAGGATTTAAAGTGCTCGAATGACTAATGGCAGCTCAGTAACACCATCTTTAAGCCAAAAAGCAGCATATATCACCAATCAGGAGGGCTTGAATCACATGCTACAAAACACTGTCATCACTGAGAAATATTTTTAAGGTGATATCCTTATTGAACTATGTTCAGTTTGCTGAAAGAAAAAAAAAAACAATATTGGAAGAAAATGGATAGAAGGCAAGCTTTCTTTTTTCTTTCATAATTAATCATGAAGAGATGCATTTGTTTGCCCAAGCATTCTAAGCATTGCCTACATGGTCTCTAGAATATTTTATTTTTCTTTCAAAATTATTTTAAAAAAACAAAAGCATTGCTTCTGAGAGTTATGAAATCTCAAAGGCAGTTACAAATTCATTTATCACTTTAGTGCAGAAAGATAAACAAGGGTATTGAGCAAAGACACTCCATTATATTGCAGCAGAGTTATATTTTAGCTTTGGCTTTGGCTTTGCTTGAGGATTCTGTGCTAATGAAAACATTGATCTTACTTCCAACATTGCATTCAGCATTCTCCTAAGATGCAAATTCCTCTTCAGATTTTGCATTTGTCTCTACCAAGTATGGGTGAACTAAATCCACCCCATGGTTATGCATAGATATTACTGCCTATTGGATGCTTCTCCTGACCACTACAGTGCTCACATTCCACAGCAGAGGGCTACATTCGTATCCTCTGGGCTCCCCAAATACCCAGTGCAAAGTGAATAACAGACCTTATCAGAGTGTGCTTTAATTGTTTATATGTCTGAATAACCGGACAGTGAGATCTGTGAGTTTTCCTTCAACTCACATAGAATTTTCATAAATTTGCCTAGATAGGATCAGCTCACAAGAATATGAATTAAAGCCCTAAATGTAAGAAGTAAATCCAACAGCCTAAACAATTAAAATAGTTTCTACATATCCCTGCTTCCCAAAAAGAATTCATGAAAATTCAATCTCTCTCTCTTTTGATTAAATTCAATCTAATCTCTTGATTGAATTCAAAAGAATTCAATCTAACTCTCTCCAGTTACTATTATAATTATGTATTAGCCAATTTTCTTCAAATATCCATTTGTTCTTTTAACACATTTTACTAAAGTCTTACTTTAATCCACTTTTAAAAGATACTAGTACAAATATAACACAGCCCTGTTGTTAAGAAGTTTGAAGTGCAGTGGAGAATATATGCATAAAAACTATAATACAAACAACCTATACAGGTACACACCTGTGCATGGGGTGTTCCAGAAGCCTGGAGGACAAGCACAGAAATCTTGCTGATTGTGGGTTGGCTAGGAGTGTTGGCCAAGGGAATATTCCAAAAGGAGGTGATGCTTGAGCTGGATCTAAAGGCTGAGTAGGGATTTTCTACTTGCAGAAGGTGGAAAAGGAACCTAGACAAAGAGCTCTGCATAGGAGGTCTTAGAGAACAGAGTATTCTTAGGAAATAGGCAGAGTATACATAAAGAAGAGTTTGGAAATGAGCTTGAGATAGAACCAGGGACAAAAGCATGAAGGGTCTTGTATCCCTCCTGGGTAGTTTTGAACTTGACCCTTTGGGAAATGGATAGTCAGTGCAGCATTTAAGCACAATCGTGCCACACTCTTTTTACATCTTAATGTGATCACTTTAACACAAATATATAGCAATGTTTTGCAAAGAAAGTTTCTAGGGCCCTTGGTATATTAAGTCATGACTCAAAATGATTTCTGGTCAAATAAGCTTTGGAAAACGATGGGTTAAATATATTGAAACTGTTTTTAGGACTTCTCAAAATCTTTAATTTGCTCATCTTTGTTTTGTTTTCCTAAGAAAAGGAATGTGCAACTTTTCTCAAACCTATTTCATTACTAAAACCTTTGGATTTCCCCCCCACTTAATATCTCATAGAGTTAGATTTTCCAGGAACATACTTTGGAAAACGCAGATGTAGAGGACAGATTGGGGAGTTGAAATGAGATTGGTTACAAGAATATTATACCAGTTCAATCAGGAGATTAACTATAGCAGCAGCAGAGAAATGGAAAAGATGGGACCAAATCATGTTTAGCTATTGGAATAGCCAGAAAGGCCAATGTGGCCTGGTGTATCACTTTGACTCTTGTGATATTAACTCGTTAGAGTCTCAGAACTTAACCTAATGGAACTTTGTTAGAAGCGGCTAGTCTAAAACTAAACTTCACATCGCCTCTCTTTGCAACATGAGGTAATTGAGTTCCCAAGAAATCAGTGACTGACGGGATTAAGAATCATCAGCTCTCTATGCTTTCCATGTTTTTCATGGAGGAGAGCCAGGATGTGAATATTTATAAACATAAAATAATCACCAAACAAGGTATGTTTGTCTTTGGATTATATTTCTTTGCTGATATTTGAATAGGGCTCCATGTGACATTTAGGGACTTGATGATGCTCTAATAAAACTAATGAAGTTGCACTGTCGAGACTTGACTCTGAAGGAGCTGGAAATCTGCCCAGCACGTTTATCCCACCCAGCTGAGCTCCTGCCCACATCCTACTCTGTGCTGGGGATGGAGGGCAGCACCTTCAGGCATGCCTGCCTGGGTTGCCACTGGGCACGGTGCCCTTTCTCAGTTCAGCCTGGGAAGCACACAGCTGCTGTAGGCAGTTGGGGAGGGGGGTGTCAAGGGCCAATTATATATTTTTATTTTAGTAGAATTATGCCACGGCTATGCAGTTATCCCTTCAAATAACCACTCTGAGGAATGTTTGGTGCTACGTGATTTTTTATTATTATTATAGTTTCTATTGTAAATATGTGTTGAGAGGATATTTAAAATCCAATATGAAACCACTGGTAAGGTTCTGTGATTTCACCTGAAATGATACATATTCTTTCCTTTTGACCACAGTGGACAGAGAAGGAATATTTTGCTAAGCTTTTCTTCCTGTTCCAAAGAGCTGCATCCACAGACCCATGTCAGGGATCTCCTTACTCCCTGGCCAAATGAGACTTTGGTCTTCACCACAGTGAGATCAAAGGGTTGAGATGCCTTTGAAATGACTTCACAGTCATTTACTCTGTGTGTTTTTTGGTACCTTTCAATTTTCCCTGACAAAAAGATTGCTTGCATAGTATGCACCGAGTATGATACAGCTTCAAGTGAATGTGAGGCTCATTCATCAGTGGCAGTTTCCAAAGGGTGTTAATTGGAATATTACTCACTTTTCTTGGATATTAAAAATTACTGAAGGTCAAAGATGAGCAATTTAGTCTATTCTCATGCATTTTCCATCTGTGTAAAAATGTTTGTGACTTGCTTTTACCCAAGATTAATGAGAAGGGAAGAGAACTATTGTTGAGACACACCTGATTCACTTAAAGAACTGCAACCTTCATACTAATGGACACCATTTTGTTCTCATGGGAAGGAGGGAAAGAAAGGAGGGAAGAAGAAAAGATAGAAAAGTACTGTAAATTCTGAGGTAGGATTGGAATAATTCTATATCAAGTAATCAGAAGGAACAGAAGAACTAAGAAGCAAAAATTAAGTTCTTTAAACTATAGGAAACAACCCTTGTATAC